TATGTTAAATATATGTGTTAAATATTCAGTTGAATGAAGTTTCGTAATTTGAACCTACTACTGCAACCCGTGCCTAGATCAAGAAATAAAACCGGCATCCTGAAGGTCTTGCTTACGCTCTGTGTAATAAAGTAATTTCTCTTGAAGTATTTAGTGAAGTGTACATGTCATACACACTTAGAAATTATTGCTACTACTGTCTCTTCCTCATTCCCAAACAGCCTATTCTACCACCATCACAGCTGTCTTAGTTGGGCTTCTCCTGAGAAAGAATCAATACAAAATATATAAAAAGAGACTTATTATGAATAGTTGATTCACAGGACTTGGAGCCTGAGAATCCCTGTAGTCTGCCATCTGCAGGCTGGAGACCCAGGAGAAATGGTGATGTAGATTCATCCACATCCAATCAATGGCCGGAGAACTAGAAGAGCTGATGATATAATTTCCAATCTGAGAGCCAAAGACCAATGTCTCAGCTTTAAAATAGGAACAGAAAGGGTAGGGGAAAGGGAATAAGGGAAAGGAAAAAAAATATGAGAAAATAAAAAAACGGAAATACAGTTTTTTTAAATGGGGAGGGGAGGGGGGGGTGAAGGGAGGGCAGGGACAAGGGGAAAAATGAGAACCAAGACCTGTCATGTAAAGGTACAAGATCCCAGTAATGAATGTAACTGTACTGTATACCTAGAATGTATGAATAAACTCAATAGAAAGAAAAAAAATAGGAACAGAAAGCAAATTCTTTTTTATTTTTCCCTTTTTTTCCATTCAAGTTTCCAACAGATTGGATGAGACCTGCTCATGCTGGAGAGGGCAATCTGCTTACTCCATCTACCCATCTTGTCCAGAGAAATCTTCACAGTAACACTCAGAATAATGTTTAACTAAATATCTGGCTACCCCCATAGGCCATTAAGTTGACGCATAAAATTAACCATCAGAACAACAAAATCCCACCAAACAAAATCACTGGCACCAGTGGCCAGAGCCTTTAGGAACATCTTGACTTGTCATTACAATGACTTGACCTATATCAAAGTTGTTCCCAAGGGACTATGACGGGCAGATGGAGTGAAACCCAGGGCTCCATCCAGAGGATGCTCTGGAGGATTGACTTACTGACTTCCACATCAGAAAGAAGCCTAGAGGTTATCATATCTGAATGCCTCTTGATATCCAAGTGACACTCTGACTTTGCATCACAGCCATCAAGTTTCAATTTAATCTATCATAGTTCCTGGATGTGCCTAGAATCCTTCCATCAGCATCCACTAATTACGTAGAACTCTGTGATGAATAGATAGTGACAGGAGGGGTCTTCCAGGCAAAACCACAAACCCCAGCAGCCATAGTGGACATGGAGGTGATGGGAGCAATTTTGGAGGGACCAGACAACCCTGTAGCAGATGCTTGCTATTAGGACTGGCTGCTCCACTGGTCTCTGAAAAGAAGGGACAGTTCCACATTACCTTTCAGCAGGATAGCAGATGTCTTCTACATGGGATAAGGTGAGGGCTTATCTTTTCTCCCTCTCTCTCTCAAATTGCAGAATTGTGAACCAGAAAGTGTCTTCTTAGGTATAAATTACACCAATAAAATCCAACTATTCTTTTGGATTCAGAAGGCTTTTTGATTGGGAACCCAGTGAATAGGGAGCCCTAAGGAAGAGTACCCAGCATGTGATGATTTTCCCAGGTGAGATGTTTGGGTCTGATGTAAGAAAGGACATTTCCCTATCAGAGTTGCTCAATTGGAGTGGGCTTCCATGGATAAGGTGACCCCCCTCTGTTGAAAGTGCTCACTTACAGGCACGTGATTACTCAAAGGCACTGTAGAGAAACCTACATTTTGAACGATTGACTTTGTTTACCCTAAAATTCTTTCCCCACTAGGACTCCACATCTGTGAGCTGTCACATCAATCCAGACTCATATATTTAAAGATATGAAGGATCTTGGGGCCATATGGAACCTCAATGACCATATGACCTGAACTTCACCCCAAGGGAACCATAGTAGTCCACAATCCTCCTGTGCATCTTGACCTTCCTCCACCCACCAGACTGGGCTCCATTCCTGGGGGAGTCATTTAAGAATCAGGTGTCCAAAAATGTGCATTGATCAATGAGTCTGGATAACTCACTTGACTTCGCTGAATCTAGGCTTCTTCATCCATGAAGATAGGGAAATACCTTCTGATCCTCAGGACTGCATGAAATATTGGAACCTACCTAGCAGTCACACACACTCAGTTCAGTATGAAGGTCCTTCACTGTCTTTTCTCCTTCCTCCAACACACCCCTCTCTCCCTTCCTATAGTCTTCCTTTTCCCTACCTCTAGAGAAGTCTTTTTTTGCCTGCACAAGACAGCCCTTCACATAGTTATGATCATCTCAATTCTCCCATATCCTTTACCCTAAGCTACATGTTATGCTCTCCAAGGGCACCTTGGCCTCTGCCACTCATTTCTAGAGTCCTACCCTCTCCCCATCACCTACACCTGAGGGAAGTCTCATGATGGCCCTGATGCTCATATATCTTTATTTTCAAAAGAGTTCTCTGTTGATTTTTCAAACAGAAAGGTCATGTTTGTAATCATGCTTGGAAAACTATAAAGCAGTGTGCAAATGGAAGAGATTTATCTCAACATTTGGGCTGACATTCATGACCTTTACTATGTGCCAAAGCAGGGTGGATGTTGTCTCTGCTCTGAAGAAAAGAGAGAAGTTGTGAGCACAATGCTCTGAATCAGGGGAAACTGCCTGGAGTAGGAGAAAAGGAGGAAGAAAGGTGGTTCATTGCAAAGTGAGCTATTTGCATCTGACAATACCTAATAGAGTCCCATGTTGGGGAAAGGCTTCTGTGACATGCCAGCTACTTGGAATTCACTTAGTACTGCTCAATAAATCCCTCTGAAGCCCACAAAAATTAATATAGCGATAGGATTTCTGCCTTTTCCATATACATGAATTCGGTAATAGCCATAATTATTTTGAAGTTATAATAAAGCATGATGTGTTATACCACTAGCTCACTGGCAGTAAGGATGAAGTACAGGGATATCCACGTTCTGCATTCATCATCTCCCCCACTTATTATAGAACAATTCCCCAGGCTGAAAGGCAGAAGGAAGATGCCTCATCCAGCCTTGGTGGAGCTCCTTCCTCAGTGTCATTGCCTGGTTTAAGTGGTCTCAGATTTCCATTCACTGGTGCAGGAGAAGGGCGCAGGTTATCTGCAGAGACAGCCCCACCACTCTCACGGATTGAGTTAGCAATTACATAGTGAGATGGGTGAAAGATGAGTCATTTCCTCCCCACTTCTGTTTTCTATCCTCCATCAGTCCTACTTGCCTGTCAATTGCCAATCTGTGCTCTCTTAGGCCATAGCAGAATGGACCCAAGTGGACAGTTGAACTCATGGGAGCAAGTGTCAGGACAGATACTCAAAAATCTTGTGTTGGGTGCTGAAACTGGGGGATTCTGCAAGGCTAGGGCTGGAGTAGAGTATACAAGTGTGCAGAGGGAAGGAGGCAATGGAAACTGCTTGCAGAGAGAAGAGGAAAACATCAACCACTTCAGATAATCTCCAGAGCAACCCAGGGGTCTGATTCTGCAGGTCCCAGTGCCAACCCTTCCTGGGCATTTGGTTGTAGTTCTTGTCCTTGGCTGGCATGAATTATATCTGTGCCATCCCAACAAATTCTCCTTTATAATTTTATCTAGTATTAAGTGAGTTTCTATTTTGTATCTAAATAACTTTTTAAGGTTTTACTAAAAACTCCACAAGGAGAGAGATTCTTTTTATCTTGCTCCTTGTTATATTTCTATGACTCTGAACAGTGCTTTGCTCATAGAAGGTGCTCAATAAAATCATTGAATGAGTAGGAAAACTAGAATTTGGACCTAATAAGGGACAATCTTTTCCATATAAGCCCAACTGGCCCCAGTTGGGCTTAGGTCATTGCCTCTCATTTAACCCAAGGAGAAACAGCTCCCCAGCAAATATTTCTTCTAAGAGGGTATCCTGTGGTCAAGGTGGAGATCACTCTGGACCAATAGCAGGAAGTTTGCCCTCAGGACCTTACCCCTCAGCCCAGGCCTGCAGAACAGGCCTTCTCCTCATTGAATCATGACTCTTACAAAGCTGGGATTCCTTTGCCTGAGAGCAGGGAGTGGGGAAGCATGGAGAAGGCCCCTTGTCTATTCATCAGCTTGCAGACAGATGAACTACCTCATAACTCAAGATCCCTGGCTCATTTATTTGCTCAACAGAAGCATCCAGCTGGTTGCTAAGGATACCAAGGTGAAGGTGTCAGATGTGAGCCCCGCCCTCAGCAAAGTTGGAGTCTACTGGAGGAGAATCTAGACCCTACGTGTCCCTGAAGTCATTGGAGAAACACGTTCCCGAGTTTGACATGTTTGGCTTCTCCTGCTGTATGTCAAAAGAGAGAGGAAATGGCAGAGGAGTCCCATCTAGGACTCTGCTTTGAAAGGCCTTCCGTTGCCTTCCACTGAGGGGTAATGTGGGGACTTCCATCTATCAGCTTCATGTTCTCCAAGGGACAAAATCAGAAAGCCCACATCACCTGGATGGGTGATGAAAGGGTTTTGGAGATTGTCTTCCCTAAGACAGCAGGGTTTTTGTGATAATTAATTTTTTTGTACTTCAGATTGAACTCAGGGCCTTTGTACTGAGCTTTATCCTTGGCCCTTAAAAGTTTTTTTTTTTTTTCCTTTTACTTTGAGACATGATCTCAGTAAATTGCTAAGTTGCCCAGCTTGATATTGTGATCTACCTACCTCAGCTTGATAGAGTGCCGGGACTGTAGACATGGGCTACCATGCCCAGAGTGATAGTTAATCTTGATTGCCACCTTGATTGATTTGAAGATACCTGGGGAGTTAGCAAAGCATTCTGGGTGTGTCTGTGTGGGTCATAGGGGATGAGCATGGGGCAGGTCTGGTCCCCGGTCTCTTCTTTTTACCTCTATCCCTGTATCTGCACCTGAGCTTCTCTGAGGTTAGCAGCTCTAATGTTTTTGTCTCAGAGTCAGCCATTGACGGAAACTCCTGAAACTGTGAGCCAAAATAAATCTTTCCTCCTTTAAGTTGTGTATATCAGGATTTTTGTCACAGCAACGGAAAGCTGACCAATACAGACAGCAACCGTGAAAATATGTGAAACTCCCCTTGATGTGATGAGGGCAGGAAGAGGCTGTTTTCTGAATGAAGGGTTGTTCCCGTTCTTGTGAGACCATTTTGGCATGATGATTAGGAATCTTATTATTGTGCTCACATTTATCAAAGGCTGGAGGGAGGTCCTCACTGGGTTCAGTCAATTATCTTCTCAAACTGGCCTTATATCTAGAGTGGAGACTCACCGTGAAGAATGAAAGCCAGGTGGAAATTCCCTAGTGCCTCTGAGAATCCTGTTCACCATTTCCCCCTCCCCGTGTTCCCCAGACCTGTCTTTCCTCATCCCCAACATCCACAATCCATTGCTTTCTGTTTACCCCAGCCCATTTGCCTCTCGGCATTCCCTATCCTAGCCAGGTAGATTGGCTAGTCCAATTGCCCTGTCACCAACACTAGTTCTCTTGCTTTACCTTCCTGTCAGTCTATATGGGACAATAGAGTGATTACTACTTTTTCCCTCAGCTCTGTTATGAATTAATATTTTCCCACTCCAGCTAGTCAGAGGGCTATGTGGCAGGGCTTTGGTGATGGCAGCCTTTTGGTGAATAGTGGCAGCTTTAATCCTGAACATTCTTTTCTTCTTTGACACCTTTTCTACCCATGGTTCTTTATTGCCACATTTATCTTCTACCACCTTGGGCTCAGCATCTTCCTCAGAAAGGACATCCTGAACCAGACCACAGCTCATCAGGCCAAAGTTAGTGCTGGTCTTAAACTGAGGACCTATTAGATTCCATCTCTTGTAAAATAGAAACTAGAACACAGGGCTTCCCATTAGTCCATGTGGAGCCTGGAACTAAATGACCACAGATAAGCAGAGAAAGCTAGAGAGAAGCAAGTACACAAAGAGAAGCAGAGATGAAACTTGTCTGACTCCCAATAAATCCCTACTTGTACTTGGGCTACTCAGAATAGAATTCCATTCCAAATAAACACATTTGATGACTAAGGTTTAGCGAGTGACCTCACCTTCTACCTCACAAGTGAGGCTGAAACCATCATATGCAAACTACCCCCAACTTCAGCCTTTTGGCCTGAACGCATATTGTGTTTTTCCTCACTTATTCTCCCTGCACTCCAGGTCAGAGAAAGGTGGGCCCTGCCTCTCTTCCATGCTCACACCCATGCACTCAACTCCATTCCCTATTGCCTCTGGGTCCTTCCTTAAAGCCTATGAATGTGCTAAATGTCATCAGTCTTAAAAACCCAAACACTACGATCCTTCTTTCTCCTTTCTTTTTGTTGCAAAGGAATCTTTTTGTTTTAAAAGACAAGGCAACAACAGAATCATAGAAAGAGTGCAAAACTGAGTAGAGAAAGGAGGATTTGGATTTCAGTTTCACAAAGAAATTAGAGCTGACGTTTAACAAATTCCCTGACTTCTCTGAGTTTGTTTCCTCAGTTGAAAAAAAAAAAATGGTGATGACAAAAATCTCACCCACTTTGCAGTTATTGTGAGGGATTAAATGGGTTAATTTATGAGGTAAAAACTTCTGACACACTGCGGATGTGGCTCAGTGGTAGATCACTTGCCTAGCATGTGTTCAAGTTCTGGGTTCAATCACTAGCATTGGGGAAAACCACCTAATTCATAGAAAATGTTTAATAAATATTAAATTAGAGAAGTCATTTATATCACTGCTTGTGCTTTCTACCTTCCATTTATCCCTCAGTATTTTGCAGCCTGGCTTTGCCATCCCTCCCACCCCCATACATTTTGGTAACTACTCAAATGAAGGTCACCAGTGACTTCCCATGTGTTGCCTCCAGTGTGGTTTCTTTCCTTCTCTGTGCTACTTGCCTTTCTGTAGCAGCTGGGTTTGATACTTCCTGCCTTCTTCGTCCTGGTTTTCCCCCTGCTTCCCTGGTCAGAATAACTCCTGAACACACTTTATCAGTCTTTGTTTGCTCGTATTTCTTCTACGTCTACCTAGTCTTCTCTGTTCTCAATTCACACCGTACTCTTGGATATGATCTCACCACCTCTCATGGTCTCAAATGACACTAGTGAATGAAGACACTAGATTTTTTTTCTCTAGCCCCCACTTCCATTCTGAATTCCTCTCCTACCATCACCACTTGAATGTATGCATATG